GCGCCCGCCGCCCACCGCCCGGGCCCAGGCTGCGGCTGCGGCGGAGGCACGCGGGCCCATGGAGTGTTACTACATTGTCATCAGCTCCACGCGCCTCAGCAACGGGCACTTTCGCAACATCAAGGGAGTTTTCCGAGGCCCTCTCGGCAAGAACGGGAACAAAACTCTGGTAATCGCCCCTCTCCCTCCCTGTCTCTCTCTTTCTCTCTCTCTCTGTCTCAGAGGACATTTGCAGGGCTGAGCTACTGAGCGGTGTCGGAGGTGTTGCAGTCCCCGCGCTCTAGAATCTGCTCCTTTCTCTATCAGATGGGCGTGGGGCGCAGTGAGGTGCGGGGAAGGAAACGCGGCTCCCGGGGCGCAGCGCAGCGTGCTTTTGACTCCTGCCCCGCGCCCCGGACTCCCACCGCGCTCCGGCGCGCGGAGGAGCATCGCTTTCGTCCCTCCTGGGAAGCGACTGTGTCAACAGGACCTTTCTAGAAGAGGGAAAGAGTCCTAACCCCCAGAGGTCCCATCTCCCCCGGGGTCCGGGCAGTCGAAGGTGACAGGGGATGTAGTGAGGGCCCTGTCGCTGGAGGCGCAGGAAGGGGCCGATGGAGGGAGGCTCTCGGTAGGAGTTTGTGCTTCAGCTCCTCCCTGAAGGGCTGCCTGGCTGGCAGCAAACTTCTCCGGTGAGAAGTTGTCAGTGCTGAGCTTAGCAGAAGGATCCAAAACCCCATGCTGCCAACTTTCAGCTTGTCACTCTAGAGAGGCTGAGGGTTACTGTGGGGAAGGGCGATCACTGGGTCACAGTTGGAGCCGCTGGGAAACAGACAGACGGAATCGGTGCAGTCTCTGGAAGGTTCTCACTGGACCACAGAGCTTCCTTCTCAGCATCCCAGGAGGAAGAGCACTCCTGATTGGTGGGCGACTGCTGAGCACTGGGAATAGTGCAGACTGATTTACTTTTAGTAAATACCCTTAGCTACAACACCTCTCTGCGGGACCCACTGTGATGTGCTGGTATCTCTGGAGAGGGTACAGCTCCAGAAAGAAACAACAAAGAGTGAAGTATATTAAGCTAAATACTGAAGAAGGTAGAGTCAAACAAATGTGTGATTCATTCATGTCTGGGTCCATTAGCAAGTAGCGTGCCCTCTCCTCTTCTCCTTTCTATGCAGTGGTTAAGAATGTGCTGGGAAGAGTTTTAAAGGCACATTTAAATTGTTCCAAAGTCAATACAGTATTTTTGATCTACTGTTTGTATATCTTAAAATATATTTCTCAGTGAATAAAAAGTTGTGCTGTGATGTGTTTTCCAAAGGTAAAAAGTTCTCCTTTGACATTGTAAAAGCATTCTAACATTGATGTAGTCCATTTGATTTATTTCATTTTCCTTTGAGTCTATTGGCTTTCTTTTAGCTCATTTAAGAAAAAAAAAAAAAAAAGAGCTCTCTGGATATATTTATTGTTGTTCTGGATGCGGTTGGTTGGTGGTTTTTGGATAAGAAACAGAAAACATTCCCTGTAGACATTAGTGGAGCATCACTTAGAAGAAGTGGCAAAGGCTAGAGGTGTTTTTGAAATTGTTTTGACCCTACTTAGAGAACTAACCTAGCTGGGAGTGTAAAATTGTAAGGAGAAAACAAACTTTCATTTAGAAGAAGGTGAGGACTATAGATTATCTTTTAAATCACATTTCACTGAGGGGGAAGAAGCAAACTTGTTGAAAAGGTTTTGTTTCTCTAATTACTTTAATGGTGTAAATGATAAGCATACAGTTCATGGAAGAATAAATATTTGTCAAGCAACTTGTAAAATGCTTTTAAACTTGGATTCTTAATTGAAACTGGGGTTCCTGGCACTGGTTCAAATTGCTTATGCTGACTTTGTTGTGGGTCTGAAGTTGATTATCTCTTCATCAATTGTATTGACAAAAGGTAGGTTAAATCTAATTTTGAAAATGTAATTTTATGATTAAAATGGGTAGCAAAAAGCAGCCACCTGAATGAGTGAATGAATCAAAATGCCGACAGAAGTAAAAAGAAATGTATTCTGAAATGATTCCTAGCATATTCCTCTTAATTATAATGAAGGAGACATGCAGAGACATCCATAGTCATTCTTCCAGGTTGTTTATAAACTAGACAAGTCCCTATCTCTTGCATATGAGATTTATACTGGCTGAAAAGATGTAGATTAGAATATTATGATGCAACTTTATTTAAACTTTTTCTTGAAAATCAGGATATAGCTGTTTTCTAGATCTTTTTTACTTAAGGAATGAGATTTTTTGCCTGGCTTTTAAGTTGAGTAGAAGAAGTTCTAACTATACAGTATTGAAAAGGAATGACTCTAATTCAAAGAGGGCTGTTGATCACTAACTATAAATGGATTCTTTCCAGTACATAACATGTTGCAAGGACTTTAAGCTGAAAATTACTAGCAGTTAAAAATAGGAGTTGGTCCTAAAACTTCTAGAATTATCAACTTTAATTAGAAGCACAGTATAACTTTAAAAGGTATATACAAAAGGTGAATATTTTCAAGTAGTAATTTATAATTATCAGTTCTTTTAATTTTAAAGTTTCAATCTTTGAAGGTTTAAATTGACAGTTAAGATTGTATGCATTTGATATGTATAATGTTTTTAAGCCCAGATGCATGGAGTAATAACCGTGAGCTTTCCATTGCATTTCACATTTGATTTTAACAGATTTGAGTTTTGCCTTTAAAACTATTATCAGTGCTTTTTATTTTTAAATGACATATCAACTATATAGGGTTTTAACAATATTTTAAGTGGGTTTTATTTATATCATCAGGAAAGCACAATACTAAATCATTCAGGGATAAGGTCTTTTGATTTTTTCTCTAATAAATAAAACCATTTTCAGTTTGGACATAATTAAAGAGTATTTTAGAACTTTTAAAACCATCCAGATTTAAACATGATTTTATACAGTATACTTTAAAACAAATCATAAGATTTTTGTAAGTTAGCCTAAAATTGTTAATATGATTTTCAGTCATGAATAAAATCTTCCTTGTAGAATAACCAGTGAAACTTATGTTTCAGTGACACTGATTAATATCTTCAGTCTTAAATCAAGAAAGTCATCCTAGCACTCACATTGAGCAGATCAAACTGCACAGACATTTCCATAGGTCATATCATGTCAGCCAAGTGTAAAGTTTAAAAAAAAATACTTAAAGGCTGAGCCTGTTCTGAATCTTGAACCTATTATGCAATGACTTTGATGTATATTTGACTTGCCATTTTTAATTAAAATATACAAATCCCTATACTGTGATATCTTACAAACAAAGAGTAAGGTCAATCTACTTGACATTTTCATAATTAACAAATTTTATCCTATCTGTGATATAACTCCAATTTCATGGAAGAAGAAACAAACTTATATTTTACTAGTGCCACAGAATATTTCTGGATACATTACAGAGTTTATTGGAAATAATTAAATTTTATGCCCATATAGACTCATTCTTTTCCTTTAAATTTTCCTAATCCATCATTACATAAGCAGTTGTTTTTTGGTTCAAGTCATTTAGCTATACATTGTAATTCATCCAAAAGATTTCTTTCACTTTTATGGAATTTTAAATTCATTAGTTGTTAAATTTGTATATTAAAAAGCTGTTCATGTAGAATATATAAATATATAACATGTAATATATGATTAAATATATCCTAACACTTCTAATATAGAATTTGGGATTTGCCTTTGGAATCTGGGAAGTCACTAGGAATTTGTTGTTTGCAATCTTTTAGTTGGCCAGCATTTTATTATCTCATCTAATAGCATTATGTCTATTTCATTGACTGTGGTACTGAAATTTGAAGTGGCACAGTGAATCAATACTGTAATGCAAATTTCTTGAGTTATATTCTAAAGTACGGACTCTATAGAGGTCAGTATGATGGTTAAGGGATGATAACATTGGGTCATATGGTTGATTGCAGGCATTTGACATTTCCACTGTACTTCATGTATGAAGAAGTAATATCAGATTCACGAAATAATTTGCATTTAACTTTATTTTATTCATCTTCCCCAAATATGCAAATATCAGTAAGTTTTGTCTGGCCTAGACTTATTTCTTTAGGTTGCCTTCCATTTTCAATGTAAGATGTACCAGATTTAGCAAGAAATGAGGTATCTATTTATTAATTGCTTCTCAACGCATTCGTTGTTTTATTTATTCAACTTTATTGTGAAGCTTCAATTGGAAGGTGATATTCTGGAACCACAAACTCTGTGTATTCTGCACCGCGTTATGTGCTAGGTTGTGCTCAGGGTTGCTTTTCTTCATTTCACTCTGTTGAAAAAATATTCACATCTTTTGACATATTTGTGCGTTTCTTGTCACTCAGGATATTTTCATATGTATTAATTTTGGGAAGTATGTAAAATTCAGGTTTTTCTCCTCTATGTGCATAGGAATTCACAAAATTTAGTTAGGTCTTTGTAATATACTGTGTGGCCTTCCATTTTAGTTATCATTGTAGATAAATCTCATTATTAATACTGTTCTTGGACACATTTTGTATGTCTCCTACAGAATATTATTTCAAAGATTCTCCATTTGTTCAACCAATTTTGACTGCTAAAATTTGTAATTAAGACTAAAAAGACCAATTGTTGAGTAGATGCTCTTGAAAAAAAATTGATCTTGTCAGATTAATATCCTTATGAGAGTTTAGAGGAGCAGGTGGATTAGGGTAATAATTTGGTATTGCCCAAACTTTCTCATCTATGAATTTTGTTCATAGATTGAGTCGTTTGATAGTCTTCTAAGTTTCTTTCCAATTCTTACATATTCAATATTAACGGCTGTCCCATGTCTCATTTTTCTGAATTTAACATGCCATTTATTCATTGCTCTATTTGATTTTTATTGTGGTGAAACTATACAGCATATGCATTTTCAGAACACATTCTTCAAGTAAGAGAACTCATTGATACTTGAATTTTTATTTTCACTACTCAAAAATATAGCAGGAGAATGTGAAGAGGAATGTTGTCAGGTTCTATCATGCCTTTGTTAGCTCACAAACATCAGCTGAGTTGTTTTAGATAACTGATATTTGATGAAGGAGGTAGTACTTTTCTTTAATTCTTTGATCTGCACCAAAATCTTCTAGATTATTATTGATGGCTACAATTGCCG